GATCTCTAATTCAGAAAGCTGTGAATAGCTATTTCTGTGTAACTTCAGTCTCTACAATCCTTGCACTCTGGTTTTCTCACTGCTGAGGTAAGAACACCAGGATTTTCTTCATGGGGGAGTGGGAATGTTCTGCTTCCCTGAATTTACTGTGCTCATAGGCCGAATACATTTGTGTGCTGACATACTGTGCTGATATTTCAAAAACCTGTGTTCACAGAATTTCTACTACGTTATATTTGATTCTCTGAATGCAAAAGTTTTTGAAAATGTAATCCAAGAACAATTTTATCCTTATGTAATGTAGCTTCAGGAATGTAAACTTATCTACGGGAATTGGTATTTCCTTTCATTGAAATTGATTATAAACCAGCCAGGAAATAACTGAATTGGCAGAGTTGTAGGTGCAGCAGCATTTAGATGGGAGACAGAGCAGGGAAAGTCAGAACTGACCAATACTAATAACCATTTACACTGGATGAGCCGCAGCCAGGCCAGATCCACAGGCAGCTTTGATTAGAATTTGTCCATCAGTTTCATGTCCCACAAACCACTCTATTCTTCAACAGTCAAGCCAAAATAAATGATAGAAACATCTTTGACTAAATATTTTGTTTCACATACTGAAGAGCTAATATCTGACATGCTTAAAGTAAGTTCACACAATTGAAGCTGGCCGCTGGCAAGCTGCATCTTTTTTACATGTAAACGGAAGTCTGATGAGAAATAAACGCATACTTAAAAAATAGCGATAAGCATATGAAGTCTTTGCCTTATTATTCTTGATCTGAGGCCTATTTTAAATGGAAATACAGGCTTGAATTGGTCCATCAGCAACTAAATTGACAAAAATAATAGTTTTCAACAGGCATCAGTCGTCTTCCTGCTTTAGAGCTGAACCATAGTTAGGATACTAGCAGAAAAATAATGGTTTCCTACATCCTGCACTAGTCCCAAAAAAGTGAAGTCATTCATACAAAAAGTAAGAGCTATAGCTTAAGAAATGTAACATACAATACATGTAAGAGCAGAAAAGTAAAGTATATTCATGATGAAATTGTATAATACAACTTTGGAATTACTATACATGGTCATTTTAAACTGACCTACAAATAGAACATTATTTCACTATGGTATATTCTCTATGGATTGAACATTCTACAGTGTGAGTTGAGATGTGAGAGAACTGGAAGCCATTCACAAGAAAGATGTAAAATGAGGTATGTTTATCCTTACAATCACTAGTAAAGTGCTATCTCAAAATCACCTGCTAGGTTTACATTAATTTTGCCCATTTATTGAACATATCACTAAGTTACGCTACTTTCTCCCTTGAATCCCTTTCTTGAATAACTTGCACAGCTGAAAACATACCATATCTGTGATCCCAGAACTTAGCCCACACTAGGTATGGATTTTGGTCTTCTGTGCTGAACAGTAGGAGGTAAGAGATGCAGAAGGATGGGAAAAAAGGAGAACAGGCTAGAGAGCACAGGACAGCGGGTTTAAGCTATTAGTGCAACCTTAGTAACGTTTGAGCTTCCATTCAGTCGACACTTCTGCTCATGCACTACACTGCAAAATGAAGGTTAAGCTACAGATATGCAGATTTAGTAGGGTAGTATGCAGCAAAGCATCATATGGCTGACACTGAAGGTTTTTAATTTCTCTTAGGAAAAACTATGCCTGGAATGTGTTTTATTGCTTGTAGATCTTCACTAAACATGTTGCACATCTTTTTCATTAGTAACATTAAAATCAAGGGATTGATTTGTCAGCCAGCTTCCCAGACAGGACTTTCTTCTCCTCTGATCCCACCACCCCTGCAGGTCACCGGCGACGCAGTATCGGAAGCAGAACCTTGTCAACAGAAACAACCCTCAGGAAAATGAGGGAGACACTGATGAAAAAGGGGAAGGAGCAGCGACCCATGCAGCCTACCTGGTTAAAAGAACAGAGATGTCAGCTGGCTGGATGATGACAGAAACAAAACAGCATTTTGGATAGGACCATGCTGTCATTAAAACTATATAACCAAAATTCAGGACAGTATAATGTGCAAAGGAAGCAACGTTTTTAAGGCCTGTCTTCCCATGGCATACATACTTCTGCAATTCGGTCCTACTACAAGGAGAAAACCAGAGAACAGAGATCTAAGTAGCCCCTTGCCTAGTGGGTTAGTGAGCAATAGCTGTATTGCAAAGAAAGCAGACAGTACTTTTTCCTACCCAGGCATCAAACCCCAAGTAGAAAAACTATTAATCTCAGATTTAAATCTTAAGACACATGATGCTTCTGACCTTGGAGGTGGGCCATAAGTCTATGGTTAATGCACAAGTCCCTGCTGCCATCAGCTCAAACGTTTACTTTTTTCAAAAATAATTTAAAAATACACAGTATGCAGACAGCCAACATCTAACAGATTATTATTTTTTCCTAGTGTTCTGGGATTTTCTTAATGCAAGCTTTCAAAGAAAAATGTTAACAGATTCAGCAAGACACACAAGTCTCCTTAATTAACAAGCTTCCAACCTGGTAATACCTTGATCTCTAATATACGTAAACATTTTTATTCAGGCTGCTAATCACAAGGCTTAGCAGCCTTGAGCTCATTTGATGCCCTAAAATGTAAATTCAGGAAGTTTACTGGTACCCTTGACTGTTTCATTTCTCAGGGATTTTTTTATTTATTATTATTTTAAGATAAATTGTTAAGTCTCAGATCCTGAAGTAATTTCTCATAAAGTCATCTGAAGCTACTGCTTGCAAACTATATTTTTTATATCTTGTGTTCTAGCATCTGAACTCACTGCTGAGTTTTAACAGTCCAGATTTTTGATCCTTGAAATATTCCCAACTCCAAATTCCTGAAATTAAATAACTTGTCATTACAGAGCATGATCATCTGTTTTGTTCTGTTTTGTTCGCTGTGGGACAGGGAAAGGAAGAAAGAAGAGAGGATTCAAGTGTGTTTTCAGGTATCCTCTGACCACTGGTACCTGAGTATGCTTAAATCCCCTCCTAGCATGAACTAAAACTACTTCCACTAATTGTTGGTTCCATCATTTATGTAATTTCATTACCCCTTGATTGTTTACTTGGCAGTATGTGCTATCAAAGAAACACCAAGTCAAATGTGATGCTTTTAAGCTTAGAATTTAGGAAGTTGCTCAAAATATCATTCAGTATTACTCTCCTCCAGATGACACACTCAAAACCAGATGACTACAATTAAGTGTACATCATACAACAGCTAACATGATAAACATAATAACAAGTCAGATTATTTTCTGAGAAAATATAATTAAGATGACACAAGAATATAATTTAAGTATTGCTTCCATGGTGCTATTGTGTCAGTCTTGATCTATTTGACATAATTTGTGTAAGTATATTTTAAACACCCCTGCCCCCCAATAAAACAACTTTTATGGACTTAAGCAGTTGCTAGCCACTTCTGTTTCTAAGACTAAAAACATATTATAGCACAGAATTACCTAACCTAGACCAGATGAGCTAACTTGTGTCCTGAAAGCACTGTGGAAGCATTAGTATGGTATGTTAATGAAGCACCAGCTTGGCTATGTTGCAACCTTTAGTAATGAGCGATGGAAGCCTACGCTCTACCCTGTGTTTGCTTCCCACAGTTCATCATAATTATCTCAGTCTGATATAGATAAGATTTAATCCAATTATCTCTCATCCATTTTCTCCAGTCTGGAACAGGAAAACAGAGCCATTTGTCTATCCTTCTCTCACTGGAGGAAAAAAACACCTCAACATACTGAAAATACTGCCATCAACCTCTCTCTCTCTGTACTACCTTCCCAAGCTTGCTCACATACATGCTAAATAATGAGGGGTGACAGCACATACTCTATGACATCCATCATGAGGGGATCACTAGCGTTTAAAAGCAGTTAACCTGCTTCCTCATCGTAAAATTAATTCAGTGCAAGTAGCAACTGTCTACAAATCACCAGCAGCTTTTATACATTATCAGACACCTTCACATCTTGTGAATTTTGGAATGAAAGAGCACCTGTAAGTAATCTTTATGCTCCTCAGATTTATCCAAGTGTCCCAGTGAACTTGGATGGATACTGCAACCCAAGAAGGGCCCCGAGACACATGCAGTTACACAAAATTCATTTTGTTCTATCAGAGATGGAAAAGGAAAAACTTAAGTGGTAGCTCACTGAGCACCCACAAGTGTTTGCACACTGTGAAGATGGCTCTGAAGACAGGTCTAGATTAACCATTTCTAAACTTAGCAATCTGGTGTTTTTCATGATGAACACCTACTCCATAAAAAGCAACTCTGACTGTACATACATATATACAATTTAAAAAAAAATTTTTTTTTTTCATGTCTCACCTTGCAAATCTTCACATTTCCATTGCCAGGCTAGGCAAGCATTTACCATATAGTTAAGTTAAAAACTCAGTCAGTTATACAAGATACGTATTTCCACAAGGTAATGAAAACTACATTTTAAACTCTAAAAATTAATCTGTCTCCCAGATAACATCCTCTTTTGTAAGTTTCACTAAAATAATGATGTTTTATTCATACAACAGTTATGCCCAATATCAAATTATACTGTGCAAAGAGATTTTTACTTGTAACTAAATGACATCGATGAATAAGAAACCAGGAATAATCCAATTATCAGTAATACCAGCCGATGAACATTTTGATCTTTTAACTTCTCCTATATTCTTTAATAAGCTTTAAGCAAAACTAAGAGTAAAATCAGTGAACAATGCTGATCTTAAATGATCTCTTACTATACTCTTTTGGGCCAAAAGAGTATCGGGCATTGCCACATACAGGTGTAGTTAAACCATGCTTATTTTTTCCGCCCTCACTAGTTTATTCAGTCACAGGCAATGCTGTACCAGCTGCTTCAATCCTCCAAAATTTTAAAGTAAACCAGGAATCACCAAGTAAGCAGCAGCCATGACATACCGAAGCATAATAGAGGAAATACCAATCTTACCTTCACAAACTGGGCAGCACTCCCCAGGGACTTTAACGGGATTTAGACAGCTCTGCCCGCAGGCCGTTGCAACGCAGTGCGGATCTCCGTTGATGCACTGGCAGAAAGTACAGTCGTCCTCTCGCCAGCGGTCTCCATGAGCTTGGATCTGACCGTTGGCATAGCAGCCAGCAGGGTTATTTACTGGATAAACTGGGTCTGAAGTGAGAGGAATTGCAAGAGAACAAGAAGTTTTATCTTCCCTTTTACACCTAACCTTTATATATGAATAACTGCAATACCGTGATTTTATGTTACCTCGAAAGGGTTAAGTGCAGCCACTATCAAACCTTAAAAGAACCACAGCGTGGTATACAGTGATAAAATAAGATAGGTAGCAACTTAGATATTTCAATATTGAAATTTACTGTCGAAAAAGTTAAGTCAACTTATACTGAACATTCATAAATTCAGATATTTTTAATTATTTCAACTCAAATTTTGTATGCAACAAGCAGATCTAGAATGGAAAGTGTATCTACAAATGGCTGGGTTATGTTTTTTGAAGAGGCTTAATTTTTGGATTTTCTGATTTTGTTCTTCCAAACAAAATGGATCTTAGATCTACTGATCCATATTTGTACCAACTTAACAAATTCTGAGGGGAACTGAAAACACCTCAATGAACCACTGAAATGAGTCCTGTCAGCATCGCACCACTATTTTATAGACGAGACCTCTGGCACATTTCCTGCTGGAACAATGAATCTGCCTTAAGCTACACCTCATCACAGTTTTGGAGATATACTAGTTTTCCTGGACAGATTATCTGGCTCAGTTTTCAATTTCATTTCAGTTGGAGCTTTTTACCCTTAAAAGCTACAAGGCCCATTTACCTGCTAGCAATCAAATTAAGACTCAGGTATTTACATAACAGAATTTGGGGGGATATATTTTACATAAGATTTCTCCTCAGGTTTCATGCAAATAAATAATGCACCTCTGTATATGCTAATTCATGACTTGAAATAAAAGCATCTTTTACCCTTCGGAAAGAACATGTTTTACTCTTCAGAAATGCAGTAAGCGACACTGATATTAATAGTAAAAATATATGCATTACGTGAATGTATGCAACTTACCATGGTGGCTAATAAAAAGATAACCGTTAGACTCAAAAACTAAGTATCTGAGAATGTACAGTAATCAAAGCAAGCAATAATACAAGTTACATATTAAAGCAAATTCAATATATTAAAAACAATCAATACAGCTAAAAGCATTGTTTTTAGCAGACAAAGAAGCACGTGTCATTTACCCATAAGTCAATTTTCAGAAAGCGTTAGGTTTGAAGGATTTGGGAGAAAAGAGATGTCCTATATAAAGGGGGGTGTGTGGGGGGGTGTGGAAAGAAAAAGGACTCTCTGAAGTTTCATCAATCCCCTTTGGAAGGAAGGCAATCCATGTTAAGTGTAGATAAAACCAGTAGCAGTGCTAATAGCTGTTGTCTCACTATAAGCCATTGTATCAGGTAGTTTATGACACTATCAAACTCTGAACATTCAGAGTGAAACTGCGCTCAACTTCTACCTCTACCTGGCATTCACTCCCATCCTGAATTTTAGTGATAGTCCCAATTTTAGCAAAATGGGTTAAGCCAACATAAAAAACAGGTGTTTGGGAAAATAAGACATTTAAAAATTAAGATGTTTCCTAATCTCTTAACTTAGCACCTTTTTTGTTCTAGGATTAGCTTGCATCTGTAATTAACTGTTTTGACCTAGCCCAAAATCAAATCATACACAAAGAAATGAAGTTAATTTTATCAGTCAACTCACGTATGGGATTCTGATTGACACAGGAATACACAGAAAGCACAGAAAAGCCATATAAGACTCGCGTTATTTGCAATAGTCTTTTATGTGAGTCAAAGCACAAAGTTCCTGGTACTCTTAAAAGGTCAGTAGTATTTAAAGCTATAAACTGAGCCCAGCAAATTACAATTCCTGATGCTGAGGAACCCTACAGGACTTTCAGAAAAGTCTTCCTGGAGCTAAGGCAAAAAGGGCTTGTGCCTGTACTACACAATGCACAGGAAATTTACCATTTGCCATTTTAAAATTATTGCAGAAAAGAAGCAAGCATTATATTTCTTTATATTTCTATCATCAAGAAAACATTAGTAGGAAAAAATTAATCACTTTGAAAATCAGTCATAAAATAATCAAATAGAGAACAGGTAGAAAAAAATGCTACCTCTTCACCAACTAGAAAAGCATGAATGGGTGGGCTGTTAAGTATACATTCTGCTCATTTAAAAGACTTACTTTGTCAATTTAGGTGTCACTTAACATAACCTGAGTTATTAAGAAAGGGACCAGAGCTTTCTTTTTTCTTTTTAAATATTTAAAGGAACCAGGAAAATAAACAACATATATCTTGCTATCCAATCATTCAAAAGTGAGAAATCAGATATCCTTGATCATAGAATCATAGAATAGTTTGGGTTGGAAGGGACCTTTAAAGGTCATCTAGTCCAACCCCCCTGCTGTGGGCAGGGACATCTTCAACCAGATCAGGTTGATCAGAGCCCCGTCCAACCTGGCCTTGAATGTTTGCAAGGATGGGGCATCCACCACCTCCCTGGGCAACCTGTGCCAGT